GCGCGCAGGCGGTCGGCGGGCGCCGCGGGCGGCTCCGAGGACGCGGGGCTGCAGCCGCCGCTCGCCCCGCCGCCGCCGCCGCCGCCCCCGGGGCCAGCTGCGGCGGCCGCGAGCGACGTGACCAGGGCCAGCGGCGCGGTCTGCGCCGAGGCCGCTCGCGGGGGGTCCACGGCCAGCAGCGCGTCGATGCGGAAATTTTTGGATTTTTCCATCGGCTCGTTAGGGGTTGGCGATCAGCGCGGGGAGGTGCGTGGCGCGGCCGCGTGCCGGCCCGCGGAGTCTTTCCGTGGCGGCGGCCAGCCCCGGGGCTCGGTATTGTTATGATTATTTGCCAGTAATCAAAGTCGCCGCCGGAAACTCAGCCGAGGGTGACCATGGTCCGGGCGCCTCCTCCGTGCGGGCCCCGCCCCGGGCCGCGTTCACTCGCTCTCGCACAAACTCCCACGCGAGTGCTCGGCGCGCCGGGGCCGAGAGCCCGGCTCAGCGCTGCAGCCCGCAGGCGACCGCGCCGAGGCCGCTGGCGCCGGGCTGGGGACCCGCGCCCCTCCGCGCACTTGAAGCGCAGCGCGGCCGCCGATTGGCGCGCTCGGCGGGGGCTTGGGGAGGGGCTCAAGCCCCGCCATTGGCCGAGTGGCGCACCTGTCACCGTCCCGGTCGCCCGCCGCCCCGCCCCTGCGCCGCGGGGTCCTAAACAGCCCAGGGTGCCGAACCGCGAAGGCGGGGCGGGGACCGAGACAGGGGTTGGAAGACTCGGAGGCGCAACCTGGGGTGCCTGCTCGCCCTCCTGCGGCCGCTGAGCGGGCGGCGGGGGCTGGCAACCCCCGGGGTCCGTGTGGGCCCCCCGGCCGGAGTCCAGCTCGCGACACACGCTGTCCGGGTCTGAGTTCGTGTCACCTAGAGCCAGCAGCGTGCGTCCTCTCCCTCCTCCTCGCCGGCGCTTGAGTGTGTCCACTTCTGCAAGGAGAGCCCACGCTGCTTCCAGGTCGAGCCGCTCTGCTCAGTGCAGGCAGCTCAGCGAAGACCGTTCTGGTCCCCAAGCCCTGCGCCCGAGGGGTTTGTGTCCCTGTCGCCAGCCCCCTCACCTTTCCGGGGAAGTTCTGTGCGTTGCAGGTGTTGTTTGTGGGGGAGTGAGGCATACGTGTACCCGAGCGCGAGCTTGCCTTCCTCAAGCCCGCGCCTTCAGTCCTCCCGGTCAAGGTGAGAGTTTGGTGCGAGCGGCCTGCAGGACCCAGGTCGGCTTGGAGACGTCGTCCACCCGCCATGGAGCAGGACCTCGATTACAGAGCTCTTCCTCTGCCGAGGGACACCGGCCCGTGGGCAGGCAGGAGACTGCACCCATCTGGGCCCTGGGAAGCCCAGCCGGGCGGGAGTCAGCCGAGGCCGGTCACTGATCCTGCTAGCCCCAGGCCCCAGGCTGGAAAATGCAGGCTCTCTGCTGCCTGCAGCTCCTGGAAAATTGGAGGAAAGGGCTTCCCTTGTCTGAGCAAGGGAGTGGGATGAGAATCCAGACTTCACCTCCGCCCCATACTCACACTTCAAATATTTACAGTAAAAGCACTTCCAAAGGCTTTTTGAAGCAGAAAGAATGGACGCGCAGGTCAAGGAGCCCAGAGGCCACCAACACCGGTCTTTGTCAATACCTCCGTTAGACCTAGTTATCTTCCCCAGACAGATGTGAGAATTCGAGAAGGAGCTCGGGTTCTGGAAGCCTGGCTTCCCGTGCAGGTGAGAGGTGAATAAAGGACAGGAAGGGGGCTGTGGGAGGGGCAGAGGACCAAGGGGAAAAAAAAAAAAACAGGGCCAGGTAAACTTTAAAATTAGCAGGTCAGGTTGCCACAAGAGGGATGTTTAAAGGTAAATACAGGGAACAAGTCATTTCCCTTCAAAAGGCTTTTTTTACCCAGGTGAGAGTGGATTGCAGTGATTCTGTGGGTAAGCAGTGTTTCTTTTTCATTGTAACAGTGTAGTTCCGAGACTCACAGGACTACTTGGAAGATTAGGAGGATAGCAGTGGAGAAGTGACAGCAAATGGAATAAATGTTATATAGCTTTGCAAAAGCCAATATTAACTTGTAAATAGAAATAACAGCACTTACATGGTGTTTGTCTTGTCTCTCATATCTCTTGTCTTTCTTATGTCTTTGTGGTGGTAAAAATGCAGTCCTTCTGTCTCTGAGTGGAGAGAGAGGTACACTCACATCTCTTGAACACCTACTATGTGCCATGAGCTTTCTAGAATTATCTTCCTTAATCCTCCCTATGATACCAGATGAAATCTCTATTTCACAGAGTGCAGATTCAAAGAGGTTGAGACTCTCATGCCCGCAAACTGTTAAGCCTCAGAGTTTGGAATGAGGTCAGGTCTGACTGCAGGAGCCTCACCGTTCCCACCTGCTGCCCTCAGTGTTCCCGGTATCCCCAGCCCTGTTCCCCATCCTGTCTGTTCCCTCTGCAGAAGGAGGGTTTTACAAAGATACCTGAGCTTAGCCACCTGTTCTGGGACAGGAGACCTTCACCCTTCGAGAAAGGGTAACAGTGTCTTTGTTGCCACTCTACCTCTCCGAGAGAGCAAGCAAACGTGGCCCCCTCCTCTGATGGGGGTGAGCTCGGAGGCCGGCTGCCTCTCCCGTGCCTCATCCCCTCCCCCTCCTCCGTCTGCTGGTTCTGAAGGCAATGATGTAGGAGGTTGGGGCAGGGGAAGGAGTGCAAAGTAAATTTCCCAAGGTGGATCTTGGAGAGCCTGACGCCTGTCTCTCCTACCTGAAATAACCCCTGCCGGGGCTAGTTTAGTTGGTGGTGGGGGTGTGCAGTCTAGACTTCATAAGTCACCCCATCTTCCTCAACAAAATTATTTTTTTTATAACTCCCAGAGCAACTCACTTTACCATGTTTTTGTTCTACAGCAAGTATGCTCCCCAACTCCTCAGAGTCTCCCCCTCCCCCATGCTTCTACGCTGCCTGGGCCAGCTGAGAATAACACTTCCTGTACACACAGAATGGATGTCGTCCACAGGTGGGCCCCAGCTCAGGCAGGTTCATCTGATTACCCCCCAGTCCACAGCACCTGAGGGCCCAGGTGCCGGATCCGAAGTGGACTCAGCCCGCCCGCCCTGGCCCAGGTCCTGGCCGCCTCTAAGTGCAGTGTGGCTGCAGAGAAGCTGCCTAGCAGCTTCTTCATCTTCATGGATCTCTTTCTTTGTCTCGAAAAGTCAGGGTTAGACAAAATGGACCCTGCAGTGCTGAATGACTTCAAAATGATCAGATCCCCTGTTTATGTTAAGAATTAGGGAAGACATATTGGAGGTGTCTGTGAAGTTGTACGGGAAGAGAGAGGGAGAGAGAGGGGAAGAGAGAGGGAGAGAGAGGGGAAGAGGTCTCGGAAGCTTGGGGTCTTTGTGTGGTTTATGGTGTGTGAAGCTGAGCACACCAGGGCTCTTCCTGTCTCCAGCATCTGTATTGATCCAGCCCAGCTGGCTTTGAAGCAGGTTTTGGGCAGACAGGAGCAGGGCTTGGTCTTGGGAAGGGCCGCAGCGAGAGATCAAAGGTCTGGTCTGAGGGCTGCTCCCAGCCTCAGTCTCCAGGTGCCCGGGGACAGCATCCAGCCCCAGGACACCGGGGAGAACTCTCCAGCTCCCAAGCAAAGCAGCATTGAGGGCCTGGTGCCCCTTTCATGTAGCTGGCTCCCATCCGGTCCCTTCCCTCCCGCCAATGCATCCCTTTCTCTTTCCATAGGGCCTTCCTTTAGATACTGAACACTGCCTGCACTACCCTTTCTCCCACTCCTTAGAAAGGAGAACTGGTGGTTTTTACAAACATTTGCAAAAGAAAGAGCTGTTTTCATCCATGTCTGGAATTATGTATACGGAGTTGGGATAAACCCTATATAGTCACATATTCAGATGATGGGAGGCAGCATCTTTCTTCATCGTTTACGGATTGCTTCCTTTCTCATGAAGTGGGGCAGGCACAACGGAGCACCCAGCATGAAGGCGACTCTGGACCGCTGGCCCTGGAACACAGGCTGGAAGAGGACTTTCCCTGGTGACCACTTCGTACACCCCACCCTCCCAGAGCTTGAGGTTTCCAGAACTGACACCAGGGCCGGTGCGGGTGATTTAGCCCGTCCTGCTGAAACCATGCCTTCCCCCCACCCCCGGATGAACTCAGCTAAACTTCAATTTAACCTCTCGGGGTTTCCTTCAGGAAACAGGCGTGGTATGCTAGGTAACGTGCCTGAGGGCAGGACCCAAACTTGCGGTGGCGATGGGATTCGAACCGGGACACTCGAATTACTCTGCGAAGATGCTGGTGTAGGGACCCTCGGGTCTGCGGCTGGGGAAGTAGCTCTGTAGCGAGGAGGGAGAGCGAGGAAGGAAACCGCGGGAGAGACACTCGGCGACCGCGCCGGGCCTGGGGACGCGGGCGCGGGAGGAGGGGGCTGGGGTCACCGGAAGGCGAGCGCGGGGGAGGGGCGGGTCCGCGCAGGTGTCCCCCGCCCCCCAGCAGCAGAGCCCCGAGGGCCAAAGGAACCTCGTAGTTAGCGCCGCCCTTTGATCTGCTGACCTCCTCCCTGACCCGGGGGCGCTCGGCCTTTTAAAGGGCCTGGAAAACGTGGGAGCCCACGGACGCACTCCACCCCGAGGTGGGACCTGCAGGACGGGCTGCCGCTTTATCCCGCGGCCCCGCTGCCCGGCCTCGCCCTGCGCACCCGGCTTCGTGTCGCCCGGGGCCTGGACCGGAACCGGGCCCACCTCCGGGCGTCCCGGGGTCGCGGGTCTGGCCCTCTCCACCTGACCCAGCCTCAGATCAGGGGCTCATTGCCGAGGGCTTGCTAAGAGGTCGGGGAAGGCTGCGGGATTTAAATTCGTAACATTCCAACAATCCGGCAAGCTACGGGCCTTCTATTTCTGGAAATTTCCTCCAAATACAGAAATATCTGCGTTACCCTCGGACCTTGGGCCGCTTCCCAGCTTCCCGGAACACCAGAGGCAAGGGACAGGCCTGGCGGTGCCCCGCTCAGCGTTTGGCCCCCGGGAGGAGACGGTCCCCATTCCCCTGCAGGTTTCCTTCTGACCCAGGGAAGGAGGGCGTTTCCAGCCTTTCTGCGGCACAAATTCAAACTTCCTGGGTTACAAAGTGAAACAAATTTCTCCCCAAGAATTCGGGAACGTGGGGTGGGGGGAAGTTCATTGGAGTCCCTTTAATCACATTGGGGGAAAACAGCCCTCAACAGAGACTTCCCCAGAAGACTATATTTTTGCCAGAGGATTTAAATTAAGTAATTTAATTGCAGGTTCACACAGTGGCCTGTACTTCAAGCAGTTATCGGAAACAAGGTATGTAGTGCGTGCACCTGCGAAGCCAGCTTTTTCAGAATGCAGAGGCCCACAGGACCCCTCTCCAAACCATCGCTAACGGGGACCTACAGTTCTCTGTGAGTGAGTCTTGCGCCTCGATAATTTAAGACTGAGAACGATGTTTAT